CTGACCCCTGGGTCCCATCCAGGCCACCCCTGACAGCCCAGGCCCACCTCGGGCCTCTTTTCTGCATGCTCGAGTAGGATTTGATGATTTGCAACAGACTCTCACTCCGAAGCACTAATGAAATCATTTTGGAATTAAAACTTGCATGTGTAGCTGCCGCTGTACGCCTATTATCTCTCGCGGGGCGCTTGCAGATAATTATGGTTGTCCCCGACTCTCTGGGCGGGGCGTGGAGGTGCAGAGGATCTGACAGCAGCATTGGGTGGGGGAGAGGGAGACGGCAGAGGTTTGCCAAGCACGTGGCCTGCAGGATGATTAAATGTTCTCTCGCAGGACCCCTCTCCGTGCTGCTGTTCTGGAGGATGTGAAAGTGTCAGTTATTACGTTCAGGTCTTCAGATAGTTTTCCCCAAGTCTTTGGGAAGACTGTGTGTGTGTGTGTGTGAGAGAGAGAGAGAGAGAGAGAGAGAGAGAGAGAGACAGAGAGACAGAGAGAGACAGAGAGACAGAGACAGACAGAGACAGAGACAGAGAGAAAGGGAGAGAGGGAGAGAGGGTGGGGGACTAAGACAGGAAGAGAGAGAGGAAGAGAAGAAGAGAGAGAAGAGAGAAAGAGAGGAGAGAGGGAAGAAGGGAGAGAGAAGAGGAGAGGAGAGGGATAGAGGGAAGAGAGAGAATGGGTGAGAGAGAGGGAAAGAGAGAGGGAGAGAGAGAAAGAGGAGAGAGAGGAGGGAGAGAGGGAGAGAAACAAGGGACAGAGGGAAGTGGGAGAAGGCGGGTTGGGACGTGATGGAGAGCCCGGGTCTGAGGGAAGGGCGTGTGCCCAGTCCTCTGGCCCTGAATGGCAGAGCGGGGTGAGGTCCCTGCCGCTGGGCTCCCAGAAGGCTGGGGGAGGGGCAGGCAAGGGAGACACAGTCTCTATGCCTGGGCCCCGGGTTCGGAGTCTGGTTCTCCCGCGTGCAGAGCACGAGGCCTCAGCCTGCCCGAGAACAAGCGGGCTCTTGAGAGTTTGCAGAGCGTCATGGGGCGCCGACCACGGGTCCCTGGGGTGCAGGTCCCCCTCGCTCCCTCAGGGACTCACGTGACCCAGCCAAGGGCGGGGAGAGTGCTTCCAGGCCGCCTGCTCAGATGGCCTCTGCCAGGAGCACGGTGAGGGGGTCCGTGGAGAAGTCCTGGGGGCAGGGCCCTGGGAAGGGGGTCCCAGGCTCCCCTGGGTTTCACCAGTCAGAAAGACGCGCCTGTGAGCTGGCATCAGGTTCGCTGAGAGCCCCCCGCCTGCTGTCTGTCTCCAGTTCTCCAAGCACTCCCCGTGTTTTGGAACTCCTGAAATGCTGTGGTCCCTGCCCCCTGCCCCCGCTCCTCCCTCCCACCTGCTCCCTGTGTCTGTGTGTGCACAGGCAACTGTGTGTGAGCATATGTGAGCGTGAGCATGTGTGTATGTGTTTATTTGATTGAGCATGTGAGTACGTGGTCGTGTGTCTTTGTGTCTCTTTGTGTGTGAGTGTAACTGTGTTTATGTGAGCAACCGTGTGTATATGTGAGTTTGTGTACGTATGTGTTCATATGTGTGCATGTGAGCAAGTGTCTCTGTGTGACTGTGTTTTGTGTGGTGTGCGAATGTGAGTGACTGCGTATGCATATGTGAGATTGTGGATGTGTGGATGTGTGGATGTGTGTATGAGTGTTTGTGTCTCTGTGTGTATGTATGACTGTGTATATGTATACTTTTTGTATGTGAGTGACTTTCTGTATATGTGAGTTTGTGTATGTGTCCATATGTGTATGTGTGTGTGAGAGAGAGCAAATGTCTCTGTGTATGTGTGACTGTGTTTATTTGTGGGTGCATGAGCTTATGGGGGTGAGGATGAGCATATATGGGTGTGTCCATGTGCGTTCATGCGTATGTGTGGGAGTGCATGGGAGTGTGTATTTGTGTGTCTGGGTGTGTGAGCGTATACTTTTCCCCTTAGAAGAACACCGTCATATTGGATCAGGGACCACATACCCCATCCTGATCCCATCTGAATGTATATCTGCAGTGACCCACTTTCCCAGTTAGATCACATCTGAGTTGCTGGGAGTTAGAACTTCAGCAGATGTCTTGGGGGTGGTGGGGGCAGACACAGTGTAACCCCCAACCGGGGCTCTGGCAGAAGTGAGCAGAACCCCACCTCACTAGCATGAGGCCCCAGTCACCCCTAAACCCTGGGCTGTGAGATTCGACTGGGGGCAGGAGAAGGGGGTCCGACCTCATCCAGCAGCAATATCTCACCCACCCCATCCAGCAGTGGGGAACGGATGCAGAGGGCAGAGTCTCAGGACTGCCGTGGCACCAAGGGACAGGGCAGGTCTCTTGCCCAGCTCTGGGCTCAGGGGCACCGTGACAGTTGGGGACCCCTTGTCTGAAAGGAACAGGGACTGTGGGCAGGAACGGGCAGTGCCCTCACTGTGGGGACAGAACAGGGGGGTGCTGGGGAGAGGCAGGAAAGAGTCAGCCATCACATCTGAGCATGGGCTGTAGTTTGGCCCGGTCCCCAGGGTATCCCGGGCACTGACTTGGCCGCTACTGACCCAGTACCTCTACCCCAGAGCTGACGAAGGCCAACATGCCGTCATCTGTCGTATGGACAGGGACGCAAGGTGCATACCCTGGCTAGCACAGGGAACCTCCAGGGGTGGGAGTTTCCAGGGACCCCCAGGGCTGGTCTCAGCCTGTCATGCTGAGACCCTGGGAAGGTGCTGCTGTCTGTGGAGCAGGGTTTGCTGCATGGGACTCCCGCTCACTCAGATTCTCGTAACCTCTCTCCTTGTCTGTGGAATGGGGCCAGTGCCACCCATTCTCTGGGACAATATCAAGATTTTTCAGGATTGTTCCTATCGGGTATTTGACCCAAAGGAGACACTGGGCTGGAAGTGGCCCCTGAGCCAGGCCCGGTCCAGCCTTTACACCAAGTCTCCGAGATTCCAGCCCCGGTAGGCTTTGCCTCTTCATTATCTGAGTGGTGATGTTGCAAAAACATTTTATTCTTGGAATTCTACCGAAGCTGAAAATGGTAATTTTGATCTTGCTGGATGGTTTGATGAGGCCTGCCTCCTGGAATGTGTCCCCTTGGGAGTGGGAGACGCCCCCTGAACCTCGGAAGGAACCAGAGATGGAGGCATTTGGGGAAAGCCTGTGGCCGGCTTGCTTTGGCAGCTTCCCTCACAGCTTCTCCCTGGTGCTAATTAGGTGTCAGCTCTAAATTCAGGGTTTCTGTCTCCACAAATCCACCACTTCTCACTCACAGACTCCCAGGCAATCAAAGCACCCGTGGCCCTTGCCCCATCTCAACTCCCAAGGGTGCGAGCAGAAATGAGACCACATGCTTTGGGAGAGGCGAGGACCAGGGCCACCACAGAGAGAAGCCGGGGAGGACCCGGTGCATCCCCAAGGATGCTGGAAGACCAGAGGCCCCTGCAGCCCAGGGCCCATCCAACTGGCCTGGACAGAGCTCAGCCTCCCCAGAGGAAGCACCGGAAATATATGGGCGCTGGCCAAGGTGCTGAAGCCCAGCCCCGGGCGCCTCCCAGCCCAGAGCACCCACAGCCCCTCCTGCAGGGACACCCAGGTTCTAGCCATGGGCAGCATAGGTACCCCCACCCCCCAGCTCCCTGTGTGACACTGGGAACCCCTGCCCCCCCATGGGTCTCCCTCACTCGTTGGACAAGAGGTGGGAGGCTGCTTTCTGATCTGCAAGCTCTCTCTCCCTTCTCTCTCTGGGACTGGGGGTCACATCCAGAGATGGCTCAGACCCAGGAACACTTGAGAGAGGAGAGAGAACAAGCTGATCTGGGGGAGGGGTTTCACAAGCAGAAGAGCACATGGCGGCCTGCGGTTCTGCTTTAACTCCTTGAAGGCACCAGGAGAGTTTGAGCAGTTTCCCCCTCTTCTCCCTTGACACATGAACTGTGTCTTCCCTGGCGTCTACCACCAAATAAAGGTGACTTTAGGGCACCCTGGAAGCTGATCTGGTCCCAGGGGCTCCCAAAGTCCCAGCCCCAGAGTTGGTCCCCTAGTCAGTAGATTCTTCTAGGTGCGAGACCTCTTCTGAGCTTCACAGAATGTTTGCAGATTGGGGGGCTGGAGAGACACTGAGGCAGGTAATCTGCATGCAAGCAATCTCAGTTCAATCCCCAGCACCCCCAGATGGTCCCCAGGGAACCACCAGGAGTGGTCCCTGAGCACAGAGCCAAGAGGAAGCCAACTGGGTATGAGCCCAAACCAAACAGAATGAAGATTTTTTCTTTCTTCTTTTTAGGTCACACCTGGTAATTGCTCAGGGGTTACTCCTGGCTCTGCACTCGGGGATCACACCTGGGGGTGCTCGGGGGACCATATGGGATGCCTGGGATCGAACCCAGGTCAGCCGCGTGCAAGGCAAACACGTTCCCTGCTGTACTATTGCTCTAGTCCCAGACTGCAGATTTGCAGGTGGTCATCAACCCTCCCTCCCGCCCCTCCCCCAGGTGACAGGGCTAGGACTGGACCCACCTGGGTGCAGAGACCAGAAGGACAGTCTTGTCCAGCCCCCAGATTTCGTTCAGACTCACAGCGGGAAGCTCCTTCCCCGACTGGCAGGACAGTGGCAGGGCTGGAACAATTAGGCAGGACAAGTGGCTCTGGTGGGGGTTTCCACTGCAGACCTGGGGCAGGTCCCTCCTATCTGGGGTCCACTGGCCGCAGCGCCCCTGTGGGTATCGTCTCTCTGGTGCATTCAGGGACGCACCCTGCCCTTCCCCACCTGTTAAACTGAGGCTGTCCCCTTCCCCAGGAGTCCATGCTTGGCCCTGCAGGGCTCTTAGTGTCAAACCTGGAAGGAACCAAGCCTCTGACTGCCTGGGGCAATGCCTGGGGCGATGGTTGTCATGGTGACAAGTGGGACCCCAGGGAGATGCCAGCTTGCCCGGGTCGGGGTGCAGTGCCCCCAGTAACTCGGTGCCCGCCTCCCCGTGTGTCTGCAGGTTGGTGGAGCTCTCCTCGGCTGTGCCCATCGGCCCCCACTGGGGGGTCCTGTCCAAGTGCTTGGCCTACAGCAAAGCCGCCTCGGACCCCTTTGTCTACTCCCTGCTGCGCCATCAGTACCGCAAGAGCTGCCGGGAAATCCTGGACCGGCTCCTGGACCGGTTCCTGCACCGGCGAACGCTGCGCTCCTCGGGCTTCAGGGCGGCTGACACTCACAACCACAACATCCTGCCAGCCCCCGAGTGAGTGTCCACACACCGCCCCAGGCGCCCCTGTTCCTGCTTCCCTGGACTGTGCCTCGGGGCTCCCCAAGGCCGCTTGGAGCTCCTGGACTGGCCAGAGACCCAGAGACAGTCCGTCCTGGTGAGGATGCGCAGGGCCGGTGGCGGGGACTGCGGGCCCGGGCTAACATGGCCCCTGACACTGGCCTCACTGGACACGCGGCTGCGGGCAGTCGGCGGCTCCCTAGGACACTGCCCCTCTGCAAGGGAGGCCATCTGGCCTCGGGGCTTCCGTCCGCCTGACCCCTTGCCCCCGCTGGTAGTGTGTTCACTACAACAGACTTTCTCCAGCTGGCCCAGAGCCCCTGGTGCCCCGCTGGCCCTGGGGTCCTGAGTCCAGACCCCCGGGGTGCTGCCCAGTGGCTACCCACCTGTTGTCTTAGAAACGGTTTTGTTGGATTCAGTTCTGCTCTCTGTCTCCCCCTCCCCAGACCCCAAAGCTAATGTTCTTGTGTGCAGACAATCTTCGCATGAAAACAGTGACATCAGCGGGTGACCACGTCAGCGTGCGCTGGGGTGTGACCCCCGAGTCACCGCCGTCCCCTTCCCACACCACAGATGCCGGCGTCCAGGGGCGGGCAGGAGGGAGGAGCTGGCAGGGACAGGCATGTCAGGAAGTGACCCCTGGGCCTTAGGCATCTTGTCCAGCATGCCCGGGAGGCAGGTGGACAGGGTGACCTGCAGGGTTCTCACCTGGACGTGGGGGCCCAGTTTCTGCCCTCCCAGGGCCTCCATCTCGGGGTGGCCGTGAGTCAGTGTGAGTCACAAAGCGTGGAGACTTCCAAAGGCAGCGAGTCTCCGTGCACCATGCTGGGTCCCCGTGAGAACCCCTACTCTCATCCCCCACTCCCGTCCATCGTAGTTCCTTCTCGATGGACCCAAGCCCAAGTTGAGAGCTGTGGCCAGTCCCCTGCCATTGTGCTCCTGCCAGTGAGCATGCGAAGGTTAAGAGCAGGGAGCCTGGGCACCCAGGCCGAGCCCCCTGAGACATGCAGAGGACAGAATCAGAGGCGTCTCCTGCACTTGCAGCTGTAACTCTGCAGACCGCCCCCCACCCAGTGGGGACACCAAGGAACCTCTGGGTTTTCTCTGCTGAGGCTTTGTGTCAGAAGGCGCTCTCTCCCCAGCCCTCGCTCCTCACTTCCCAGCACAGCCCAGCCTACCCAGCCTCCGTTCAGGGTTTCCATGGAAACCAGAGCAGAGAGATGGAGCGGCCTGGACACCTGCCCGGGTTGGCCCTACCTGCCCCTCAGAGCCCAAGGGCACGTCCTCTTCCCAGTTCCATGGTGGCCCGAGCAGAAACCGGCCTCTCCGGTGGCGTGAGCTGATTGCTGAGTGTACCCGGGTCGGCCACTCATCTTAGCGACACCCAACATTCCTCTCTGCAGCCCTTCCCTGGGGCTCACAACCCTTCTTGTCCACCCACTCCCCCAGTCCCGGTAAGCTCGGGGGTGAGGGAAGATGGACAAGGTCAAACCCAGCACAGGGCAACCTTCTCTCTGGAAGTTTGTCAGTGCTGGTCAGAGGGGCCTGCTGACCCTCCAAGGTCAAGGAGCAGAAGTTCCAGGCTGTCCTCTGGGTATGTCGGGAGAGCTGGTGGGAAATGGCTCCTGGCAGAAAGAGACGCTTCCTAGTGGAACTTCCAGAAGCAACCAGGTGTTTCCCCCTTACCTGGAGCAAAAAGAAATGAAAATAAAATGTCTCCAGCAGGTGCCAGGCTTCCTGGGGCAGAGGGGCTCTGTGGCCACCAAATCTCTAGGGTGGCAGAGACCCCGGCGGGCTCCGCTGACGTGATAGCAGGGATGTCTGCTGGCTGGGTGCAGGCAGCATCCTGGCAAGGGAGAGAGAAACCCACCCCAGTCAGTACAGCAGCTGCCCCCCGAGCCCCCTGGCTCCCTTAGTCCTGCCGAATCATCTACCTCAGGGGTCCTGGAGCTCTGGAACCTGGTTCTCTCAGACCGGTCAGTCAGGAATGGTCGGATGAGCCCTGGGCGGTGCTGAAGGGCCGAGGCTGGCTTGTCGGTGGGTCTGGGAGGGAGGGGCCCGTGGGGCAGGCCCAGCTGTGGCGCTGCCGGACCGAGCACGGAGCGAACGTGGAAAAGGAGTTCCGAGAGGAAGCGTCCCCATCCCTGACCCATGCACCCCCTCTCTCGTGCGCTCTCGCAGTCTGTGGGTGCTGCCTGGCCTTGGGACCCCCATCCTTCCACGGGGGTCTCGCTGCTGAAGAAGCCCGGCCCCGTGAGGAGGAGTCTGTTCACTGGAACGAGGGGTCAGGCCCTGGGGCTGCCCGAGCAGTGGTCAGTGACCCCCAGAGATGCTTTGTGGGGTGTAGGGGGGAGGAGGGACGCCGGAAGGGGCCTCTGGGACCCCTGTGACTCCCCCAGGACTTGAGTCCGTGGCTGTGCCCCTGAGCAATAAACCTCCCTCGTCCTGTGGCGAACGTGGTTCCTTCTCCAGCTGCCGTTCTTCCCCTCTGCGTCCCGACAGCCTGGGAGAAATGGGCGCAGGGAGCAGACCCCCTCGCAGAAGCACAGGGGTGGCGGGTAGGGGGGCTGGTGGGAGTCCTGCAGACTGATAGTTTATTTTCGAGTGTTGGCGGGAGGGGCATCCCAGGGATCAAACTCGGGGTTCACACATGCAAAGCTGTGCTGTGTGGTCACACCCCCTCACCTGTGTTAGCCGTGTGGGCGGGGTTTCTAGTGAAGATGTTGTAGCAGGTGCCTGGAGTCCTGGTCTCAGCCCCTCTGTCCTCCGGGCCATGAGCCCCATGAGGAAAAGAGGGTTCGGGACATCCTTGGGGTGCCCCCGCCTTTCTGGAGGGTCACGAACAGCTTCCCAGTCTCCCTTCCCGCGCTGCCTCGCCAAGTCGGGCCACGAGGCGGGGCTCTGTCTCTGCAGACCCATCCCTGCCCTCCTGCACCCCCGGGAGCTGGACCATCCGGGCAGTGCCTCCTCCCCTCCACACAGAGCTTGCTTTCATTGGTCTCATCGCTCTGCTTCCTTCTCCAAAGGGCGTGAGGGGGGCCCTGCGCCCTGCACCTCACTCCAGGGCTGAGTCACTTTGTTCTCAGAGGGGCAGGGAGAGTGGGGGGCAGGGGGTAGGGGTTGCTGAGAGCAACAGAACAGCCTCTGCAAGCCAGTGTTCCCTTGGCGGGGCTGGAGGGTGCCTGGGCTAGGGACAGGTGTGGCATCCGGGCTTTGGTGGGGATCTGGAGAAGCCCGGGGACCCTGGCCTGGGTCCCACTTCCAGCTGTGGCTGGCTGCCTGGCTGCGGCACTGACTAGCGGCTTCAAGCGTGGGGCAACACCAAGCCAGACACCCCAACAGCCTTTTTCCTGCAGGGGACCCCCCACCTCCAGCTGACGCCTGCTCTCCCTACTCTGGGCAGCTGGAGGCACATGGTTCCTGCCCTGGTGGGCTGAGCCCCTGGTCCTGAGCCCTGGGTGCCGGCAGCAGCTGAAGCTCCCCCAGGATGGAGCCCGCCCTGGTCTCTGCCCTTTGCCCTGTTTCTGGGGGAGGCTTAGCAGCCACCTCTGTGCCTAACCCTCTCCCTCCCACAGGCCGGCAGCCACAAGGTTCTCGGCCTCGGAGCCTCCCTGCGGGGTCCGCACCCTCAGGCAGGAGGATGAGGCTGGAGACCCTGGGGAGGCTGAGCTAGATGGGGGTGAGGGGGTTCCAGGGTTGGGCAGGCAACATGTTTATAAGCTCCCCACTTTCCCGGCTAAGCCTTCCTTTGCTCTGAAGCCCAAGTGTCCCGTTGGCCCCAAGGAAGCCCCCCCCCTCGACCCCTCCCTTGGCTCTGCTGTGTGGGGGTCAGGGGACGGAGGGGCCAGGACCCTGGGAGCCTGGGAGCTCACACGCCCCTCCCCTCACATTCCCCCCACGGGCCTGGCCTCAGGGCACTCGCGTGAGCAGGAAGGGGTGGCCTGACCCAGACTTCCGGGGCCAGGCCTGCAGTCCCTCCCGGGCAGCTGTGGACTCCAGCCCTGATGCGCTCACCCCCCAGACTCTGCTCCTTTCAGTGTGCCTGGCCTTGTGCGCACAGGCACCAAGGAAGATCAGGAGTTGCATGCTGTGTGTGTGTGTGTGTATGTGTGTATTGCGGGGGGGGGGGGGGAGTCCCCGCCCGAGTGTGCCCATGAGGTGGGCTGCGGGGAAGGAGAGTCCTGAAGGACTTCATGGTGGTGGTGACATGGGTCCAGGGTTTGCTGTAGAGACGAGCCTATGACAAGACATTGGGATCAGGCCTGGGTAGAGACAGCATGTGCCAGGGACCATCTCGGGGGAACGTGGAGGAAACTTCTGTGCCGTGACAGGAAGAGCAGGTGTGTGTCTGTGGCCAGAGGGAGGTAGATAGAGCCTTGGAGCTGGAGACCCAGAATTAGATCTCTCAGCAGGAGAAACCAGGCCAGGGGAATGCACTTATCCGTCTATTGAAAACAAAGGAGAAGGCGGGAGAGACAGGGAAGAGAACAAGGGAAGGAGGGAGGAGGGAGGGAAGGAGGGGAAGAAGGGGCTGTAACCATAGTTCAGCAGATAAGGTGCTTGTCGGCACACGGCCAACCCAGGTCTGACCCCCAGCACCAAAGGTCCCCAAGAGCACAACTGGGTGTGGCCTCTAAAAAAAAAACAAATGGAAGCAGGGAAGAAGGGGGGAGGGATAGGGAGGAGGGAAGGAAGAAAGGGAAGGAGGGAGGGAGAAAAGAAGGAAGGAAGGAAAGAGGGAGGGAGGGAAGGAAAGAAGGAAGAAAGGGAGGGAGGAGGGAGGGATAGGGAGGGAGGGAAGGAAGGAAGGAAGGAAGGAAGGAAGGAAGGAAGGAAGGGAGGGAGGGAGGGAGGGAGGGAGGGAGGGAAAGAAGGAAGGAAGGAAGGAAGGAAGGAAGGAAGGAGGAAGGAAGGAGGGAGGGAGGGAGGGAGGGAAGGAAGGAAGGAAGGAAGGAAGGAAGGAAGGAAAGAAGAAGGAAGGAGGGAGGGAGG